CTTATCAAATTTTTCTAGTAGGATATCGGCACCAACCCAGGCTTCAAGCAAATCATAGACCATTTCTCTCTTTATGTCAGCAATTTTCATTGCAGAGGGAAGAGTTTGTTGTCGGATACTTTGATTATGATTAAGATAAGTTTTCTGATTTTTTTTATGCATTTTTGAATTTAAATGCGAAGTTACATATGCTTTATTCTCATAATTAACATTGTGTCCACAAAAGCGACACATCAGCTTGGTGGAATCTACTACAAAATCTTCAGGAAACTCCTGAGCACGCGAAAAAGCTGTCACCTTCTTTGTTGGTAGCATTTTTTTTAAATTGTGCTTTGTGATTTTGCTAGGTTGTTTCTTTTATTTCTTTTTTTGCGTTTTAGTGCTTCATTTCTTAGCTTGTGAAAGTTTGCTTTTTTGAAAATTTTGTACGATATTTTTTAGATCAAAATCCTAACCAATCAGGATCTATAAAATCAAATTACTCGAAAATTTGGAAAAATTTGGCTACCGTTAAAAAATTTGGAAAAATTTGGATTGATTTGGATCCAAAATTTTTTTGGTCCCTAGCGTAGTATCGATTTTCTGATCATGTAATTTTTTGAGGCTTATAGTTTTCGAACAAAAGGCATATTTATGTTAGAGTTCGTGAGCATTTTAGGGTTAGGAAGGGCTATCTAGTAGTAAAATTGCATGAGGAATTTTTTTTATTAGAACCCCAAAGGTGGTTTACTAATAAAAGTTTTGAAATAAACGTGGTTTTTGTAAAGCGAGCGTTTGTTTTGATTTTTTTATGTTATACCAGATCCTGGTTTTTAATTGGCTAATTGACCTTGGAAAATCACGTAACCAGAAAATCGATTCTACACCCTGGTGTTGTTAATATAGTATATTCTAATAAGAATATATATTCTTTAAATTGTAGGCCAATATAGATAAATTTGTTTGTATTGATATTATAAATATACTATTAATCTATTTTTTAATAATTTAGAATTTTTTTACAAAGTAAATTTATAATATTATACTAATCATCTTGAATCCAAAAACTCTCTCTGACGATCACTTAAACACAAACAATTAAGAAAACAAAACTCAAGAAATCTTATTTAGGGCTCTAGAAAATATACCGAAAGGCCTTAAAAAAACAAGAAGAGCAACAAAAATAACAGATAATTACTTTAAAGACCCAAGAGATCAAACCTATAACAAACAAGACAAAGAAGAAAAACTGAAATTTCAAAGAAATTTTTGCCAAAAAGTGGGTATTGTCTTTAACCCTAAATATAGATCACTAGTAGTAGTAAGACATATAAATACAAGTAAACAAACAAATGTGTACAAAAATAGCTACAACAACAAAGATCACGTCATGTAGCAGACAAATAAAATAACAAAAATATGAAATTTAGCAACTAACAGAAACACGTAGATAGAACTTTCTAGAAGATAAATAGATAATCAAGTTGAACAAAAATCTATTATACAAAAATATCAAATATAAACATATACAATATAGGCTTGTTACAATTACTATTAAGAGCTATAGAACCAATATTAAAAGTTATAAATTGTGATTTTCTATTAAGGCTCTTACAAGAAGCAAAAGAAAAAAAACAGATAATATAGATCTCATAGTAGCAACCTGCATAACAAGAAAAAAAGACACAGCAACTCTGAAAATACTAACAGTTTTTGACCAAATTTGTGATATTATAAAAGAGGTCAGGTACAAAATCCTAGACAAAGTTTTTCAAAACTGAAAAAAAGTTAAAAAGAAGAAAACAAAATAGAAATTGTAAAAAAAAAACTCCAATCTCTAAAACAAAAACTGTAGCAGAAAAGAGACGAAAACAAGAAAATGATGCTGCAAGCCACAATAAACAAATAGAAGAGAAAATAGAAAACATACAGCAACAATTTAAAAAACTCAAAATAACACCCAGTTAGCAAAGGCAAATAGTAGTCAAGCAAGAAGAAATCATACTCTTATCGGACGAAGATAGAGAAACAAACAAGACAGGAAAGAAACTCAAGACAAACAAGGATAAACAAAAAGTTAAAGCTGAAGAAAACAATGACATAGAAATATATTAAAAACCAGCAAGCTTTACAGAAAAGAAAACCAAAAATCAGTCAATAGAAGAAAATAACCCAGTTTTCACAACAATTCTACTAAGCCAAAGCATCTAAGCACCAAGCAGAAGATCCTGTAGTAATACAGATAACTACAAAACAAATGTATTAACATATAACATACACTGGTCAAAATCAAAAATATAAACCAAATATCATCAAGCAATCATCTAATCGATAGCTGGCCGATAGTTTGG